TCACATCGAACTGAATTATTTCATTATCAGTGGTCTTATACTTTAAGGAATGATAAAAGCACTTCTTCAGCAGAAGAAATATAACACCATACAGAAACTTGGCTCTACACACAAAAATTGAGAGATCCAGAAGTGGTTGAAAGGAAGATATTATAAAGACACTTTCTTTTTAGTTTTAATTTATTTTTAATTGAAGGATTATTGCTTTACAGTATTATGTTGGTTTCTATCCAACATCAATGTGAATAGGTCTACCCAAGTCTCCTCCCACTTGAACATCCCTCCAACTTCCCCCTCATCCCACCCCTCTAGGTTGTCACTGAGCCCAGACTTGAGTTCCCAGAGTCATACTGCAGATTTCCATTGGCTGTCTGTTTTACATATGGTAATGTATGTTACCATGTTACTCTGTCCATACATCTCACCGTCTCCTTCCGCCCTCCCTCCCCAAGCCATGTCCATAAATCTGTTCTCAATGTCTGTGTCTCCATTGCCGCTCTGCAAATAGGTTCATCAGTTTTTCTTATTTTTAGTTTCTCTGGAAGACTATTGGTTTTCTAATGCAACAGCAATGTTTTGGGGTTTGTAATAAGCATAAAGTAAAATTTATGAAGTACTTTAAGAGTGGAGAAGGGAAGAGTTGGGAGTGTACTGTTTTCAGGATTTTATACTCTACATGAGGTGGTTTAATCTTATTTGAAGGTAGACTGTTATTTATTAAAGTTATATATTGTAAACTCTGGGGCAACCACTAGAAATTTTAGGGGGAGGTAAGAGTAAGCCAATAATGAAGAAAGAGGGAATAAAAAATAATCCAAAAGCAAAAAGAGGGATAAAGAAACAGAATAAGTGAACATCAAGGAACACATCAAGAAAACAGCTAACAAAGGGTTAGTTTTTAACCTAAATGTATCAGTGATTATATTAAGTGTACATGTTCTAAATACCACAATTAAGATTATTCAGATTTTATAAAGATAAAAAAAGACCCAACTAAATGCTATCTACAAGAAGAACACTTTTAATATAAAGTAATAGATAGATTAAAGTTAAAGAATAAAAAAATACACTATGCCAATACCAACCAAAAGAAAGCCAAAGTGATTCCATTAATAGCAGGCAAGGTTGACTTCAGAACAATGAATATTGCTTGCAATAAAAAGGGATATTACACTATGGTGCAGAGGCTAGTTCATGAAAAGATAAAGCAATTCTAAATATGTATGAATATAACAACAGAGCTTATATATATATATATAAAGCAAAAACTGAAAGGAGATACAGCTAAATACACAGTTGTAGTTGGTAACCATACCACTCATTTCTCAGTAATTTATGTACCAAATAGAGAAACAGCGAGGATAAAAGACATTAAACATAATAAACTAACTTGGCCTAATTAAGCAGAATATACTTTTTTTTCCCAAGTACTTATGGGATATTTAGTTAGCCAGATTTGGTGTCATAAATAAATACAAATAATCAAAATAATGCAAAGTATTGTGTATCATCATACATATCATGGGTCAAAGCAGAAATAACAAGGAACATTGGAAAATACTTTTTTCTAAATGAAAATATATCAACATCTAAAAGGATGCTAGCTTAGAGGAAATTTATACCATTTGACGCAATTCATGGGGTCACAAAGAGTCGGACGCGACTGAACTGAACTGAACTGATACCAGTTGATACTTATAATAGAAAAGAAAGTCCTTCATTTAGTAACCTAAGCTTACATCTTAACTAGAAAAGGAGAGCAAATTAAACCCAAATCAAGCAGAAAGAAGGAAGTAATTAAGGTCAGAAATCAGTGAACTTGAAAACAAAAGAGTAGAGAATGTCAATGAAACTAAAAGGTGTTCTTTGAAAAGATCAATATATTTTATAAACCTCTAGCCAGACTGACCAAGTTAAAAGAGAGAAAGCATGAATTAACAGTATCAGGAATGAGAGAGGGAATATCACTACAGATCCTACAGCAATTAAAATGATAATAAGTAAGGTAATGTTTTGAATAGCATGATCACACTACATCAGAAGGGCACTCGAGCAAGACTTATCAAATCTGGTACCACTTGAGCACCAAAATAATTAAATACAATAATGAATTATAAATCTTTGAAAAATAAAAGAGAATTCATGGTTTCATATTGAAAATAGATAGCTAATGGAGAAAGAAGGCCTCTTGCTTAGAGAAGAATGTTGAATACTAACTGATAAATATGGAGGGGGCACTGGAATTTGAATATTATTTTGCAACCATTGTCATAAAGAATGATTCAAGTAGAAGATACCAGTCAATGCTGAATCTTGAGAAAATCAGTTGAGAAGCAGGATATATCTGTGATCTGAAAGATGGATATCATTGCTTCTATATATGTAATATCCTTGGGAGGACACAACACCAATTGTGTCATATTCAGGCTGGTAATATATAACCTGAACAACATGTGAAGAGATTGAGCAAGTTGTTGCCTCTGTTACTACTTCTTATGAAGTGACTCTTGGAACTTGGGTTGACTTTTCTGAGGTTCCAAGGTTCATATAAACACAAGACTATGCATAAATATTAGTCATTGCCATGCAAATATTTAGAGATACTTGGTTCTTCTCCACCTGAACCTAGCTAAACCAGTCTCACCAGTTTTGTTCCAGAGATCACAATGTAACCAATGAGAGGTGTATTACCTTTTAACAGAAAAATGTGGAGAGATGGTGCCTTAGACAGTACCTCTGCGTTTTAAAACCTTAGTTCTTTTAAAGCCTGTGGAAAAGCCTTGTAGGAGACCTTTTTCTGGGTTTGGGTCTACTCTTCTTTTTATTTGAAAATCATTTTGGACTTAAAGAAAACTGCAAGAATAAAAAGAGTACAGAGAACACCTATATACTTCACCCAGATTTACCCATTGTTAACATTTTCCCATCTGTTAACATTTTAGCCATCTGTTAGCTGGCTAGTGTGTTTTTAGATTTTATTTTCTTTGTTTTGCAAGTGTTTTTGTTTTCTTTTGGTCATGTAATATGTTCTAAAGAGCTTCCAAGCTAAAGAGGGTGCATAACATTTGCCCAGATCTTTCTTGACCTTATTTATGATTTCACTAGAATTGAGGCAACCTTTTATCTGGGATGAAGAATAAGATTGCAAATTTGTATAGTAGTGGAAGAATTCGTGTGCTTTCTGGAAAAAGTACATGGGGTGAGGGGTGGAAGTTGTCAATCTGAGTGTCTTCTGAAATTGTTTGAGAGAGAAATCTGGGGAGGAATTATATTGGGGCTACCCATCTGTTAACATTTTAGCCATCTGTTAGCTGGCTAGTGTGTTTTTAGATTTTATTTTCTTTGTTTTGCAAGTGTTTTTGTTTTCTTTTGGTCATGTCATATGTTCTAAAGAGCTTCCAAGCTAAAGAGGGTGCATAACATTTGCATTTCGAAGCCCAGATCTTTCTTGACCTTATTTGTGATTTCACTAGAATTGAGGCAACCTTTTATCTGGGATGAAGAATAAGATTGCAAATTTGTATAGTAGTGGAAGAATTCGTGTGCTTTCTGGAAAAAGTACATGGGGTGAGGGGTGGAAGTTGTCAATCTGAGTGTCTTCTGAAATTGTTTGAGAGAGAAATCTGGGGAGGAATTATATTGGGGCTAAAGAAGATAAGTAGTATTTCTTGATGAAGTTCTATCTGGGGAGCAGAGTTAATAACTTACTGGTCATTAACATACAGTTGAGGGAGAAGAACAGGGTGCTTAGACATATGTTGATAAAATTACTTAGGTTGGTGATTTTAGTGCTCAAGTCCAAACTGTATTTTGATCAGTTAATCTACTTCTTGTTCCTTCCTAGAGGAGATGTACAGAAGAGTTTCGGCTACCATTTCCTGTTAATCACAGTTCTTGGAACTAAATCCTTTTTAAGATCTAGAACTTAGTATGTCAGGATCGAAGAATGTTTTTCTGTGCTATAGGACCTTTGGAATTTTCAGGCCTGGTTATCAAGAGCCTGAGACGGGATCATTTTTTAGAGTAAGAAGATGTAAAAGGATTTTATGATCACATAAATGAAAATGGAGGTCCCAAAGTTACTATAAACACAAAAGACTAGGCATACATACACAAATATTAATCATTGCCATGCAAATACTTAGAGGAAATTGAATGTCCTGTAATGGAATTGAGGTATTGGACTATCAAAATGTAGACTGTTCTTTTAATTCACATCTATTGAGTTATATTTTACAAGCCATTAAACATGGTAACTCAGACTATCTGTCAACATGTAAAAAAGCTTGAGACATAATTTGGAAAAATCAGAATATATATTTCCTGCACACTATGATTATAACTAAAGCTATTTATATATATGAATAAAATGAATCATCATAAAAAAACTTTATGAACTACTATATTGAAGTAGTCAATATGCAGGTAATTTTTCCTGCTCTATTACTTTTATACTTTCAGCAATGTTCTGTATTATTCGTGGTTGAAAACAAATTAACCACTTGAAAAAATAAGCTTTGTTTTTTAGAGCAGTTTTAGGTGCATAACGAAATTGATCAGAAGGTACAGATTCCCCATATACTCCCAACCCCTACCTGTGCATAGCTTCCCCTACTAGAGTGGTACATTTATTACAGTTGATTAACCTTTAGTAAATCATCCTTAACACCCAGAGTTCATAGCCAGTTTTTAATTTTTTTAGTGCAGTTGTCTGAATTTTGAACATCTCCCTGGGGTTTCTTGATCAGCAACCCAGAAATCTGTAGGTAGAGAATCTGGAACTCTTACTCTTTGACTCCTGCTAGAGACTGTATAAAAATGGAAGCAGTCAGAATTTTATTCTGGTTAATCACCCCAAAAGTCCTCTATCCTCGTTTTACCTTTTACTCTTTTTATTTTCCTCTCACAGTCAGGGGACTGGGCTCTGCCTGTTTGGTTGTGACTGGGCAGTCCTCTCTGCAGTGTTACATCTGGAATTGTCTCCTTTCATCTCTCTCTAGGAAGTGCATTTTCAGCTGAGCACCTCAAGCTTCAACTCCAAAAGGAATCCCTAAATGAGTTGAGAAAGGAGTGCACTGCGAAAAGGTAAGCGGAACACTAAGAATGATTGTTAGGAATGTTGAGTTTACTTTGAGGAGAGGATTTAGAACTGGAGTATTTTTTTAAAGCTGCCAGTGTTAATGCCGGTTAATATGCTCAGTGCCACTTTCATTTATTCAGCCCCTGTTGTGTCGTGCACTGTGCTAGAGGCAGTTATGAGGGCTTCTAGTACCTAGTCAGAATCGGAAGCCTGAACACTGTTCTAGATTGCAGGGCTACAGTACCATGACTTCATGTTTGAATCTCCTCCTCTTCCAGTCTTCTACATTTAGTGCATCTTACAGTTTTTCTTTAGTAATTTCTTCAGTCTTTCTCCTATTAGCTCACTTGCCTTACCTTAGCAGTTCTCAGATTCTCTAACATAAGTCTCTCCAGCTGTCCAGTTCATTCTCCATGTTGCTAGCAAACTTCTCTTAAAATACTATTTCACCATTATTTTTTTCTCTTCTTAAGAACAAGTGGTGATTATTTTCCTTCATTGTCAAATATAAAATGGTCCCCAGTGGCTCAGGGGTAAAGAATCTGCCTGCAACGCAGGAGGTATGGGTTCGATCCCTGGGTCAGAAAGATCCCCTGGAGAAGGAAATGGCAACTCACTCCAGTATTCTTGCCTGGGAGAATTCCATGGACAGGGGAGCCTGGCAGGCTATAGTCCATGGGTCACAAGGAGTCAGACACAACCAATTGCACATGCACTGGAGATAGAACTGTAGCTAATTTCAGTTGCTATGTGACATTCATTTAGCAAATGCTAATAGTTTTTCCCTTTATTTTTTGCAGCATGTGCTTAACTTGTTACCACCTCTGATCTTTTCCTCATTTTCACTCACTTTTACTGGAAAGTCATCCCATTGTGCATTTTTGTTTAAGAAACTTTAGCAATTAAGAAACCTGGAAAGAACCTTAGAGATCATCTAATCTAATCCTCTCAATTTGCAGATAGGAAGGCAAAGCTGTGGAGGTTACTCTTTGTCTGGTTCACTAGGAAAGCAGAACTAGATGCCTTTAAGTCTTCAGATCTCTTTGCATTGTACTGCTTTACAGTCCACTCTGACCTACTGTGTTTCCTAAATTACCTCCTTTTTAATTGTTGACACAGTTGAGCAGGTAATATGCTTTATGCGTAATTTAGCTGTTAGTCATGTTTCTTAAATAGTGTAAGGGAAAAGCTGCATCATCTCATGCCACACCTTTTGGCTTTGTCCTTTTTATTCTATTTTGTAATATGACAGCAGGTTATTTTTTGAGGTGTTATAACATCTGTAATTGTAAATGAAAGTAGAATGCTGTTTTGAGGAAATACCATATGGGTATTTCCTGCAAATTGGCCTTGATTTAAATGAGATTTTGGTCAGTTTATTGAGCCTCTCTAAATCTTGTTTTCTTGTTTGTAAAATAGGTATAGTAATATCAACCAAATAAGTTGTCATTGATATGATAATTAAAGCCGTTTGTAAACCTCCTGGCGTATAGTAGTAGGTGTCCAGTCAATGATTATTTGTATGTTTTACATCTCTTTTCATGGTGCTGGATACATACAGTAGGCCTCCTTATATAGTTAGGGTGATTAATGGTATATAATAGTTATTATTCTTGCTTCTGCTTCTGAATTTCTGTGGCAGATCATTTAATTTTTCTCTGTGTCAGTTAGTTGGAAATAACTATTTCAAAGCAAGCAAGCCTGTTTATTTTTTGTTTTTTAACAAATGTGCTTTTTTCTTTCCTCATCAGAGAACTCTTTCTGAAGACTAATGCTCAGTTGACAATTCGTTGCAGGCAGTTACTATCTGAGCTTTCCTACATTTACCCTATTGATTTGGTAAGTTTCAGATTTTCTGGGAAAAAAATTTTTTTTTTAAGAGATTTCTATTTGAAATTTCCTCTCAAAGAAAACACCATTGCTCTAGTCTTGGCTAATATTTATTTTAAAAGTAGATTTAGAATTAGTTGGCATTAGGTTTCACTCACTCACTTATTTTTTTCTGTCAATTTAGTGGTAGAGTGAACTCATCTTCACCTGAAAGAATTCCAAATTATTTCTGGTTTCTTTAGCACTTTTTCACTCAACCACATTATCAACTTCTACCTTGTCTGAGACATGCGTGCAGATACATACACATTGCTTTAAATATACAACTACTAATTAATTTATATTAGTATTACTTAAGATATTCCTGTGGTAGCTGTCAAGATGTTAAGTTTCTGAATTTGGTTTCTTAGAGTAAGTACAAATGTAAATTGTTAGGATTCTTTTTTAGAGAATTAGATCTGCTAAATTTGGTGGTTTTGTTTTCTTTCTAATGAAAAGGGACTTAAAAGACTAATTTTCTGAAAGGAAAGCTAATAGGACTTTAGGTTGCTGAGAGACTTTTATTAATTCCAGTTAAAAATTCTCATTTATAGCTTTGAATTGGTCAAAGAATAGTTAGCTTTATGGTTAAAATTTTACATGACTTTTTGTGAGATATGTTTTTAAATGTCTGTATTATGTAGAAAATTTAGAGTATATATCAAGATACAGATAATAGTATAGTAAATCATCATGTATTCAACTTCAACAATTAGGGTAATATTTTAAAATATCTACGACGGTATTGTGTTTGAATTAACACCTAAATTTTTTAGATTTAGAGCTTCTTTGTTTATACATAAAATTAATTTTATTCTTTGATTATATTCACAGAATGAGCATAGAGATTACTTTGTATGTGGTGTCAAGTTGCCCAATTCTGAGGACTTCCAAGGTATTTTATTTCTTTTTACTTCTAAAGATTTGGTATAAAATATGAGTGTGTTGCAGGGAAAAAGAGATATCTTGAAATGTTGGTTGCCTGTCCCTTCTTCCAGAAAGGTTTTGGAACCTTCTGTCCCTTCCCAATTGTAAGTATATAGAATCAGATTCCCTGATGGAAGACTTAAGAGGATATTTGGTCTCATCATGGGGGAAAATTGTTGCACTTTCCATTTGATAGTTAAAATTTTTTTTAATGGGGTTTAATAAAATCAGACAGTAGGGTTCTCAAGAATACTAATAATATTCCTGTCTTTTTGGTTTTATTTTTCATGAAAAAATTGCGTTGGGAGCAAAACAGTAAACCTTAGTCTGCTCTGTTTATAAAGTTATATTTCTGCTGACATAAAATGTATTTGAAAATTAAATTTTGTGACATTCCCACTCCCATAGGTTAAACTTGTTATACTGTCATTTCTGTCCTCTTTAATTAAAAGAAATTTACATTAAAGATGTTACAAATAACATTCACAGTAATAGCTATATTTTAAAATATTTTTCCTAATCTTTTACCAGTATGCCAGAGAAAAGAACTTATTTGACATTTGGGTAGAAAGATTACTTTTATTGTTAGCAGAGTGGGTTTGCTTCTCCTAATGTAAACAATGCTTTGAGGACTACTAAGTAGTTCTATAGATTATGCCCAAAGCTAACACATTAATCTATTTGGGAATAAGTTATTCCAGAATAGAGCATTACTAGTTATTATTGGGACTTACTTCCATTTCCCTGTAAACAATATGTTATTTGTGATCCTTTAACATTTAAGACTGCTTTAGTGTATTACCTTCTTTGTCCTTTACAGCACGTAGTTGGAACATAATGTAAAACGTGTCATAAATGAACCTAGCTAAGAAACAAAAATAGAATCAGGGACATAGAGAATAGACTAGTGGTTGCCAAGAGGGAAAGGGATGGTAGAAGGTAGGAGTGGGAATTTGGAATTAGTAGATACAAACTGATATATATAGAAATAACAAGGTCCTAATGTATAGTAAAGAAAACTATATTCAATATCCTTTGATAAGCCATAATGAAAAGAATACAAAAAAGAATGTGTATGTGTGTATAGTTTTATATATATATAACTGAGTCACTTTGCTATACAGCGGAAATTAATACAGTATTGTAAATTCAACTGTTGTGGTGGTTTAGCTGCTAAATTGTGTCCAACTTTTGCAACCCCACGGACTGTAACCCACCAGGCTCCTCTGTGCATGGGATTTTTCAGGCAGGAATACTGGAGTGGTTTGCCATTTCCTTCTCCAGGGGATCTTTCCGACCCAGGGGTCCAGTCCGAGTCTCTTGCACTGCAGCAGATTCTTTACCAACTGAGCTACTATTTAACTATACTGCAATTTAAAAAAAATTTTTTTTAAGTGATTAAAACAGGAATGGGAAGACCTGTGTTTGAATCCTGGTTCCCTTTCTAGAAACCATGTATTTTGGACCAAGTCATCTAAGCTTTGAGTTGATTTTCTAGTTGATAGTATGAGCACATTAGTTCATGTACTACCTACTTTACATGATTGTTAAGATTTTATTTAAGAGCAAGACATTTTGCCTTTTCCTTAATCCTCCCGAAAACAAAATAACCCAATAAGAAAGGTGGTATAATCTCACTTTATAATGTGTGAATGAGCTATTTAGTGACATGGTCAAGACCACAGAACTAGGTAATGATCTTGCTGGGATTTGTCTGGTTTCCCATTGTACAGTGTTCCCACTCATCTCTGTAAGTCATACACATTTGCTTTGGTGTTAATTTTAGGTAATGGTGTCTTGAAGTTCATGGCACATCTTTTTCCCCATTCTTTCTTTCATTCATTTATTTATTAAACCTAATAAATACCTTGAGCCCTTGGCCAGGTTGTAGGAATACAGAATATTCTTTCATTGAAAAAAATAATCAACTGAGCACCTAAATGCCAGGCGTGTGCCACTTTGAGGATATGATGATGGAAAAAGCAAATATATTCTCTTCTTTCATAGAGCATACAACCTCTTAAAGGAGATAAAAATAAAGGTAATAAATAAGAAAAGAAGTATTTAACAAGTATTTAATAAAAGAGTATGCTGTCTTGGAGAATAGGGAAACCTACTGTAGATACATTACTCAGAGAAGACCTCTCTGAGGAGAAACGTTTAACAGAAAATCTGAAGGCTGAAAGGAACCAGTCTTCCCTGGAGGCTCAGCTGGTAAAGAATCTGCCTGCTGTGTGGGTGACTTGGGTTTGATCCCTGCATTGGGACGATCCCCTGGAGAAGGGAATGGCTACCCACTCCAGTATTGGGGCCTGGAGAATTCCATGGACTGTATAGTACATGGGGTTTCAAAGAGTTATACACGACGGATTGACTTTCACTTCACCCACTATAGCTGGGGGAGAAGAATTCCTACAAGAGGGAGGAGTCATGATTGAGGATTCTGAGGAATCAGCTTGATATATCTGAAAAAATTCAGGGCGAGGGGCATGGGAGAAGATACGTGTATTCTGGGAAAATCATGTAGTTTCTCAGAGCTTAAGTCATGTATGGATGTGAGAGTTGGACTATAAAGAAAGCTGAGCACCAAAGAATTGATGCTTTTGAACTGTGGTGGTGGTGAAGACTCTTGAGAGTCCCTTGGACTGCAAGGAGATTCAACCAGTCCAGCTTAAAGAAAGTCAGTCCTGAATGTTCATTGGAAGGACTGATGTTGAAGCTGAAACTCCAATACTTTGGCCACCTGATGTGACGAGCTGACTCATTGGAAAAGACCCTAATGCTGGGAAAGATTGAGGACAGGAGGAGAAGGGGATGACAGAGGATGAGATGACTGGATGGCATCACCAACTCAATGGACATGAGTTTGGGTAGGCTCTAGTAGTTGGTGAATGACAGGGAGGCCTGGTGCGCTGCAGTTCATGGGGTTGCAAAGAGTCGGACACGACTGAGTGACTGAACTGAACTGAATTTCTTCACCTGTAAAATGAGGTAATATTTACATCTTCAGTTGTGATGATTGAATGAGATAGCATTTGAAAGAGCTTTTCCTATAGAAGGCACTCAATAAATGGAATTAGTTGCCAGAGAGAGGAAGGAAGGACAGACCAGAGCAAACCTGTGTGGCTGGGGCAGGGTGAGAAAAGAGAAGAATTCCATCAGTAGATGTAGGAGAGTCAGCCAGGGTCTTGAGGCCACTGAAAGGAGTTTCTATTTTATTCTCGGTGGAGTGGGAAACCCTGAAGGGCTTCAAGAAGGGGGATGATATGAATTGATGGTTTTTAAAAGTCACTCTCTGGCTGCTTAATATAGAATGATTTGAGAGGTGGCAACAAGAGAAGCAGGGATACTACCGGTATTAGAGTATCACCTCAATTCATTCTGGGATGTTTCTTGATTCTATTTTTGTATTCTGGAGTTGATTTATTTCCTAATTTTTCCCAGCTTTTGTTCCCTGTCTGTACATCCAAGCTGAATACATTCCTTCCTCCCCTAAAAAAATTAGTGTATCTTTTAGTTTTAGTGCAGTTTTTACTGCTAAAAATGAAATGAAATAAATGTTTAATTCTACTCTAAGGCCCTATTTACTTACCATGACTTGTAGGAATTCATTTTAAGAAGCACATATGGTAGTATTGGACTTTAAAATCTTATGTTTGCATTCTGCAAGTTGCTTCCATGTACTTTTGAATTTACTGAGTGCCTTGTGTGTGTCATTTATGGTGCCAGGTGCTGGGGGTATGCAAAGGTGACCAAGGCATTGATCCTACCTCAGTGAAACTTCAGTTCACTTGAGGTTAACTTGTAATCAAGCCAGTCAGTAGATATCTCTTGAATTTGTACTCTGTGTTAGGCACTTAGAAGTTTATACAAGGTATGCAGGACTTAAAGAAGTAGGAATAATCAGATCTACCAGGAGGGAATCAGGAAAGTCTTATAGAGAAGATGATACCTGAGGTATTTTTAAAGATTAAAATAGTATTACCTTGTTGAAAGAAGGATGGGAAATTTTAGATTCAGTGAGTAGAAATATATAAAATGGAACATCATACATGATGCTGTCTTGTTTACTTAATTCCCACCACTGTGAGAATCAGTTCCTGCTGTGAGGGAAAGAATTATACTCAGCTTTTTTTTTGTTGTTTTTTTTCTAAAGACAAGAAAATTGAGGCTCAGCGAGATTAGTTAATTTTTCCAAAGACTCATACTAGCCAGTGGCAGAACTAAAGTCATCCCTGGTTGGCCTGATTTTAAGGCCGTATTACTCCTGTCATGATGCAGTTTTCCTCCTTGTTTTGAATAATAACCTCTTCCAGACATCTAACAAGTTTTTAGTGTTCTGTAGCAGCTGCATGCTTAGTAAGACTCTAGTGACGGAAATCTAAACTGGTTTTCTGTTATATTCATGAAACTTTACTGGGATAGTCTTTACATTGCATGGCCTGATACTGTTTGGGAAACTCCTGTATAGTGGCCCAATAATTGTTGTGTTCTTTCTAACTGGGTAAGTTTCTGTTAGAGTATGGCAGAGAGACTTGGACACAAGTGGGGAAAGTTGTCCCATGAAGGGTTTTCACTTGAGTTCCATTGACTGGGACATTTCTCATCCAAAAAAAAGAAAAAACTGTGTGTTTTAAGTAATCTATAACACAAGAGCCTTTTGTGGTAATGAGACCCAGATTTCCTTCTGTGTCTGTATCCCTTTATGCAGGCATGATTTCTTGGAAAGGAGAGTCCATATGTCAAACACTGTCTCATTGAGAACGTGGAATGGTTCCATAAATGCTGTGGCAATGATTAGAGTCTTAAATATTTGGTCCTGTCTGGATCAGTGGGTGCTTGATTCCTTACCAAATCAACTGCCTCAGTGATTGGGAAGGCAGGATGGTAAGAGCTTTTAGTTCACTTATTGTACTTGGATGCATTTGAATATTAATAGTTTGTCCAACATGTTAAGTCAAAGAGACATTTGAATTAATTTATAATGTTGTCATGGCCATTGTGAGTTTGTGGAATCTATTGTCATAAAAGTTACATAAAAGAGGCTAATGTAATTGTTGTGAGCATGCTTAAAATAGACTAGGCAAGACTAGGTTAGATATTTTAAATCCATTTTAAAACATTTAAAATGTTCAGCCTACAAGGTTTTCAACTTGCAATGAATTTATCAGGATGTAAACCCATTGTAAACTGAGGAAGATCTGTAATGTAATGTGAATCAGATCCGCAGTATTAATTAACCAAAATAAATGCATGTCTAACTCTTTTCAGCTTAAAAAAAAAAGAAAAATTATATAAAAGATTTATTATCACAAAAATTACTGTAGCCCCAAGTAAATGTAGCTACCTACATTTTAAAAAACAAATAGGAAATATTTATTGTGAGGAAACTGCAGAATTGTGTTTTGTTTGTGAGCCCCTTAAAACATTATTTTAATCAGGGCCTTTTTCCTTTACCTGAGTCTTAACAGCTTATTCCTGTTCTTCCCTGAACCCTCCCATTCCCCCTCTAGCTTCTTTTCACCAACAAGCCTGTCATCTGTGACCTCTTTACCCCACAGAGCAGCATAAGGAGCACAAGCCTCTGCTCTGCATCAGGTGTTAGGGACGTCATTAATGGTTCCTGGAAAAGCACACCCCAGAGAGCCAGGTTTTGGCTTTGGCAGGTAAAAAGTCTTTTAGATCTTGGAATGCTGGAAACCTTAAACCTTTCAGTTTTTTTACCTAAAGTGATTGGCAACAGAATGTGACATCTGAGGTTTCGTGGCCAGCAATAGCCATAATTAACCACATGAGCTCACATTTTCCCACTGGAGGTTCAGTGGCCTTGGGGTGATGAAAGTGACTTCCCTACCAGGAGGTGGTTTTCCTTTTGAGGGTATTGGAGTACCCGTGGGCCCTGTAATGCCTCACCCGTGGTCCTTTTAAAATGCTTTTTAATATAAAGTTTCAATAATTAGAAATCCAACACCATGGTGTTTAACTGTGAGGCTGTGACTGAACACTATGGCCTGGAATGGGAAGCAACCTAGGGTTTTTAATGGGTGAGTGGTGGGAGTCTTGTGGTGGAAATAATGGTAGTGTGAATAACCAGAATCAAAGCTGATTTCCAGTATTACCCAGTTTGCAGTTTTTGCTATTTCTTTTTGGTTTTTGCTCTATGTATACAGGATTCTCTTAGAGATGCCCTTTTATGTTTAATTTAAGCAAAATTGTTTTATTGAAAGGAGGTAATGTTAGAAGACCTATTTCTGTTCTTTTACTAGATATGTAGATGTAGTCCTTGAAATAGATAATTGTAATGCTTTAGTATTACCCTTTTAGTAATATGGAAAAATGGAGATGCTTGAGTGTTTAATATTGGATAGATTTTTTAAACATTCATAGTTTGCATTTGACCTGTTTGGCAGGCTAAGAGGCCCTCTGATTTTTGGAAGTTTGCAAATCCTTTTCTGTAGGTCACATAGAAAAGGAAAACCTTAGTGCAAAGCACATGTGTGTGTGGGTGCTCAGTCACTCAGTTGTGTTCGACTCTGCAACCCCATGAACTCTAGCCCACCAGGCTCCTCTTTTCGTGGAATTTTCCAGACAAGAATACTGGAGCAGGTTGCCATTTTCCATTCTAGGGACTCGATCCTGATGCAGGGATCGAGTCCCAACTCTCCTGCTTGCTAGACAAATTCTTTACCACTATGCCTCCTGGGAATCCCGAAGTACACAAAGGAAAGTCCAAACTTAATGTAGTTTTATTCTTCATTACTTACTGAAAGTTTTCTTTTTCTTCCTCTTTTCCTCTCCCTTCAAAGAGGATTCTTAAAGACCAAGTCCTTGTACTAACAGGAATATTTTAAATTTAATAAGCCCTATATTTTAAAGAAAACAGGAGGGTGGGATTCAGCAGCCTCTTTCATGGTGCTCATTGTCCCAGCTGTGATTCCAGGGATAGATACTTGAAGGGGCTGGGGTGTAGATACAATTCTCTTACTCCCGCATTCATAGTTTTTACTTGGCTTTGACTAACTCACTTATACCATTTGAATCTTATTTTTCTCATTTCTAAATTAGTAGCATCAGATTTGGTGATTTCTAAGGCTTCTCCCAGCTCTGATATTATATGATGGTTAAATTATATTGTGATGAATTTACAGTGTAATATAATTTTAGTCTCTAAGGTAGTCTGATATGCATATTTCAACAGAAGTAAAGTATTGTAGTACTCAAAGTACCTGAGTGGGACTGAGTCAGGAGCACATGGTCTCTAAAAATAGTTAGTCCTAGTCAGTTAAGGCATGCCCAATAGTCAGTTGAAAGGAATGCTGTTTGGTTTTTTTTTTCATCAGTTTGATTTGAGAGAACATGTCACCAAAGATTCACAGACTTTTCATGTGTTTTTTGCTCTTACTAGAAAAGAGTGAAGAAACTAAAATAATAAACATGTGTCATATGTTTCTCCCAAGTTAAAAAAATTGTTACATATTCCACAGTAGTGTTCTGCAGCAGTATGGTAGAGTGCTCAAAGACAAAGGCCTTGGTGTCAGGTCAGCTTCGGTACTCGCTGTATTAGTTTGAACAGGTTCCTGAACTTCTTGAACCTTATTTATTCATCTGTAAACTGAGTGAAATAGCAAATAAAACATGCCCAGTTTATTAATTTTTGATGAATGAGTGACTTCCAGAAATAGAGCACCATGGTTAATTCCTGGCAGGAAAAAGAAAATGTACAATAAAAGTTACATATTTTTACAGTATGATCAAAGAATCTGTTTTGGTAGTCGAGTGTGGAGAATGCACTCAGTGGTATATGGCAGTAGTGGCTTTCCTGTACAGTAAGAAGGTGGTGCTCAGATAACCAGCTTTAAATGTAAAAGAAGAATGTGGGAAGTATTACTAACAACTGAAGTTAAAGTTACTCTTAGAAATCAGGAAATACTCAAGCCAAGGTCATCTCAATCATTTTAGCCTTTCTCTAGCCAGAAGTATTCCAGATACATGTTAAATCTGTATGTGTGTAAGAGAGAGAGAGACAAAGAGAGAACTTTTTCAAGTATTTTAAGAATATCATATACCAAGCAGTTACTTTTTTCTTCTCCCTTGGGGCAAGCTTAAAACGTCTTATTGTATTATTCTCAGTTCTGAATACTTGAATGATTATCACTTCATAGGCAGTAGCAGAACTCTAGATGTTGAGTTAAAAATCTGTGACTTCTTACAAGATATGTACTGTAGGATACATGTATTCTTTTTCTAACACTTACTTCCACCGAAATTGCATCAATAGGATGTATTAATATATAAACAGTGTGGGGTTTTTTTAACCTTTTACTATTTAAAACACTTTTTTTTCTCTGTCCTATCTCAAACATCACTGACTTATTTAAACAATGCTCTCTTTATGAATATTGAGAATGTACCCTATAAGGATGTGCTGTGATATTTCACTTCACCTTGAAATTAATAATTTTGTGCAATAGTATAACAGTACAACTATTTTGGTTGGTAAAGTTGTTAATGAATAAAATGTATGATGTTTATATAGTATGCAATGTTTAAATCTCTGAAACTAATTTTCACATTGTATAATAGACTCAACTATTATTTTTGGCATTAAAAATGCTGGGAAAGTAACGAAGACTTGACTGTACTAAGAACTCTTAAGATTATATATCAAATGTTAATCTCACCACATTAATTATTGGGAAGTAGTTTTAAATATAGTAGATGAAATTTCAAATCTTATCAATATATTTAGATGTGTGTAAAATCATAATTTAGATAGGTGAATAATATTTTATCAATTATTTCTTATAAAATCTCTCTTGAAATTGGTTCATTATGATCTTGTAGCTAGATTTATGAAGTAAATAGCTGTTTTCTGTTTCTCTGTTTTTGAATTAACAGCAAAAGATGATGGGAGCATTGCTGTTGCCCTTGGTTATACTGCACATTTGGTATCCATGATCTCCTTTTTCCTACAAGTGCCCCTCAGATATCCTGTAATTCATAAGGGATCTAGATCAACAATCAAAGATAATATTAATGACAAGCTGACTGAAAAGGAGAGAGAGTAAGTATCCTTTTACAATATACTTTTAACATTGGGCCAGTATGAAGCATCAACTGTGTTAAAAATATAGAATGTGACCTAGATTGTGTAATTTTTGTATATCCTTTGTGTAGTGCTCCGTTTTCATTTAAATAAAATGTAGGCAGAATTGCTAGTGATAGCAAAACTGACCCATTCAAGTTTAATTTGCTTTTATGAGGCAAGTATCGGGCCTTCCCAGGTGGCTCAGTGGTGAAGAATCCACCTGCCAGGGCAGGAGATGCTGGAGATGCAAGTTCAATCCCTGGGTCAGGAAGATTCCCTAAAGGTGGAAATGGCAACCCATTCTAGTATTCTTGCCTGGAAAATCCCATAGACAGAGGAGCCTGGCGGGCTGTAGTCCACAGGGTTGCCAAGAGTTGGACACAGCTGAGCGACATGCATGCACTAGTGACCTTAGAGAAAGCATTATGAGATATTCCCTCTCTTCTACTTTCTTGGAAGAGTTTGAGGTTTGTTGTTAATTCTTCCTTTAAATGTTTGTTAGAATTTACCAGTGGAGCCATGTGATTCTGCACTTTTCTTTGTTGGGAGGTTTTTGATTAGTGATTCAATTATAAGTCTGTTCATATTTTTTTATATTCTTGACTCAGTTTAGATAATTGGTGTGTTTCCAAGAACAATACCACTTCATCTAGGTTATGTAATTTGTTGGTGATAGTTGTTTATAGTATTATTTTATAATCCTTTTTATTTCTGTAAGGTCTTTAGTGATGTCTATTTTCATTTCTGATTTTAGCTGTTTGTGTCTTTTTTATTTCCTTACTGATGTGAAAAACTTATCTAGAATAAGAAGAATTGATGGATGTTTTCAAAGAATTCACTTTTTTATTTTGTCGATTTTATTATTTTTGTATTTTCTTTTATTTCCACTCTATATTATTTCCTTCATTCTGCTAGCTTTGGGTTTCGTTTTCTATTACTTAGATGTAAAGTTAGGTTACTGATGTTAGAGCTTTCTTTTTTAGTGTCAGTTTTTATATCTTTAAACTTCTACTTTCACAATAAATTGTGGCATGTTGCATTTTAATTTTCATTCATCTCAAAGTATTTTGTAATTCCCCGTGTGATTTCTTCAGTTAACCCCTTGGTTGTTTTAAAAGTTTAGTTTTCACATTTGTGAATTTTCTAGTTTTCCTTCTGTTATTGAACTCTAGTTTAATTCCATTGTGATGGAGAAATAGTTTGTATGAGTTCAGTATGTTTAAATTTATTAAGACTTGTTTTGTTGCCTAATATATGGTCTGTCCTAGAGAATGTTGTACATGCATTTGAGAAGAAAATATCTTCTATTGTTAGATGCAATGTTCTATATATATGTTAAGTTTAGTTCATTTATAGTGTTGTCAAGTCTTACATGTCCTTATTGATGTTCTGTCTAGATATGCTGTCCATTATTGAAAATGGAGTGTTAAACTCTCTAACTATTATTGTAGGACTGTTTCTCTTTCAGTTCTGTCAATGTTTGATTCTTTTATTTGGGGGCTCTGTCATTTGGTGCATATATTTTGAGATAACTATTTCTTCATGAACTGACCCTTTTATCATTATATAATGAACTTTTTTGCCTCTTGAAACAAGTTTGACCTAAAAACTATTTTGCCTGATATTAGCATGACCTCTCAGCTCTCTTTTGGTTACTGTATTTGGGACTATCTTTCCCATCTTTTCACTTTGAACCTATTTGTGTCTTTGGCTCTAAAATGAGTCTCTTGTAGGCAGTATATAGTGGATCATTTTATTTTAACTCCTCTCTGCAGATCTTTGCCTTTTGATTGGAGAGTTTCATTTACTTCTATTTAACATAATTTGTGGCATGAAAAGACTTCCTTCTGCCGTTCCCCCCCACATTTCTTACACCTTTTTTTGTGCCTCATTTTCCTCCACTACTGCCTTTTTTTTCTTAATTGATTTTTTTGTAGTGTACCGTTTTGATTCCCGTCTCAGTTCTTTTTCAGTGTATTTAAGATATTTTCTTATTGTGACTCTGGGATTACAGTTAACATTCTATAACAGTCTACTTTGAAATAATAGCCACTTAGCTTCATTATATGTAAAAACTCTGCTCCTCTATACCTCTGTCTCCCCCACCTTTAGGTTCTTATTGTCACTGATGACATCTTGATGCATTGTGTGCCCATACTACTGTGTTTTTAATTTACCTGTGTAGTTATCTTCACTGGAGACCTTTATTTCTTTGTTCAGTTTCAGTAACTGTGTAGTGTCCTTTCATTTCAACCAAGAAGGCCTTAGCCTTCACTTCTTACAGTAAACCTAGCAGTTAGCCAGAAGTGAAAGCCTAGGGTCTTCTCAGGTCTTTTCTGAGCATGCATTCTGTTCTGAGCATGTATACAACATCCTTTTTGTTTTTAAAATTTTTATTTGATTATTTTATTTTTATTTCGTATTGGAGTGTGATTAGCAATAGTGTGTTAGTTTCCTGTGCACAGCAAAGTGATTCAGTTAAACATACACATGTATCTGTTCTTTTTCTCATTCTTTTGCCATTTAGGTCGTTACAGAATACTGAACAGAGTTCACTGTGTTATACGGGAGGTCCTTGTTGGTTGTCTGTTTTAAATACAGCAGTGTATACATGTCATTCTCAAATTCCTAATCTATCCCTCCCCTGACCCTTCACCCTTGGTAACCATAAGTCTGCTCTCTGTGAGTCTGTTTCTGTTTTGTAAATAAGTTCATTTGTATCATTCTTTAAGATTCTTCATATAAGCTATATCATATGATACTTGTCTTTGTCTGACTAACTTCACTTAGTATAGTAATCTTCATGTCCATCCATGTTGCTGCAAATGGCATTATTTTATTCTTTTCTATGGCTGAGTAATAGTCCGTTGTATATATGTACTATATTTTCTTTATCCATTTATCTGTCAGTGGATATTTAGGTTGCATCTATGTCTTGGCTATGGTAAACAGTGATGTGATGAACGTTGTGGTGTGTGTATCTTTTCAAGCCATGTTTTTCTCTGGATATATGTTCAGGAGAGGGATTGCTGATACGGCAATTCTGTTTTAGTTTTCTGAAGAATCTCCATACTGTTTTGCCCGGTGACTGCACCCACTAACATTCCCACCACAACTTCTGATTCCACAGTGTGTGGGTATACTTTTGTTTTTGTTTTTTTTCCATTTATTTTTATTAGTTGGAGGCTAATTACTTTACATCACTGCAGTGGTTTTTGTCATACATTGAAATGAATTAGCCGTGGATTTACATTTGAATACACTAATTTCTGAAAGAAGTTCTCCCCAGCTGTTCCTCCCAGACTAGACAGTCTGTTGTGTGTCTCAACCTTAATCTTTTGCCTAAGGAAGCAGTTAGGTTTGTTTGTTTGCCTTACTTCTTGAACATTGTCCTGTTTTTACTCTCTGAGTGAGTTCTGACTAGGCAAAACAAAGGCAAGCGCCTTGCATTCATCCTTCAGGTTGCCCCCAGACAAGTTAGGACAAACCAACACAAATTTTTTACTGTGCTGGTAAAAAAAAAAATAAGATCTGCTCTGCTCCCTTAAGAACCAGGAGTCAGGGCCTCACACTTGCAGTCTGCTGTCTGTAGGACCACTGCTGAGCTGGAGAGGAGGTGAGGGACAGGATAAGTAAAAATACTGCAAAGTGTTCCTTCTGATTTTGAGTTTCCTTTTTCTTGATTGATTGTTCAGCCAGTTGTGAACCTTTGATGGACAGTTTTTGCTTGATTTTTCTTTTTTCCAGTGTTTCTCTGGAGGGACCAGTTCTTTGATCTACTTACTCTACCATTTTTGCTGATACCATTTCATTTGTTCATGTAATGATGAAAAGTACTACTTATCAGGGATGAAGGGATCCCCTAGGTGATTTTAAGAGGAGAGAATACCATAACCAGATATATCTTTCACAAAGATAACCTTGTAGATTTGTGGAGAATGCCCACCCCTCTCAACTTTCTCTTGGCTCCATATTAATAAAATTAAGTATCTCTTCAGATTTTTATCAAATTTGCTCATGATGATCTGCCTTAAAATAATAGTTACGTAGGAAATCACTTTGGGAGCTTGAAGGAGGTTTACTCAAAATGATAAATACTCTTTCTCTAGATCAGCTGTGCACTTTAATTTGTGAAGGAGCAGCTCAACCTGTGGGCATTCCATGTAGTGTAGGCTCTAGTGTGAGTAGTAGTGATGATTTGTTTATTGACTGATTGATTTTCCTAAGCAGTCTGGGAAGGCTAGTTAGATTTAGGTGATTATATTGCTCTTTTTTTTTTTTCCCTTGGCAGCCAGGAGAACCACAGGAATTGCTTTTTAGTGAGTGAATTTTATATTCTACCTCTGTCTTCCCCATTTTACTGAAACAAAAAAATGTATTTTATTGACTCTAATGTAAGTACTTTTGACATCTTATTAATTTTGCTAAAAATGAGATATATCTTCCAGTTAATGGCATGATAGATATGGTGTGTTATCATATAAAAAATAAAAAATGACGTTTTATCTTTTCTTAGTGGCACATAAGTTAATAATTCAGTTCACAATTGATGCTGTCTTATATTTTATGAACTGCCAAATATTTCCTCTGGGGCAGTAAAGCACCTCAGATCCTTTTTGGAACAGCATCGATGTGTAAATATATCTCTAAATACAAATACATTTATTAATTATGGTTGTTGATTAAATCAACCTCTCGGTTGTTAGCCTGGATCCCTGAAAGACTGTGTTGATTTTGATGTGAACTTTTCCAGGGTATTAGGTAGAATCGGGTCTTCATGAGAAAATAGGAATTAAATGATTGGACAAATTATATTTAATATAATAGGCCTAGGAATCCTCAGCTTCTGCCCTCTCTGATTACCTGATTCCTCTGGCTATTGGCATGTGATACATTAAGGTTGAGAGTCCTGTTTAACTAGTTTTGCTAAACTAGGTCTTTTACCTTTGTCTGGCCTGTTTGAAGCCCAGGTCTGG